GGAAGAATCAGTAATACTGACTTTGATATTTTAAAAATACAGTATTAAAATATTATTTATCTTAGTTACTGAAGTTTTCGGTGCCCGCTTTTATTTAGTACCTAAGTGAGCGAGCACCTCACAAGCCTTATCCTCCCTCGTCCTGGTCTTGGCAGGAAGACTTTCTCAACAGGCCTGTACAGGCATGGCACAGAGGGAAGGGCCCTGGAGGATGTCTTGGGTTGAGTCCTTTGGCCAGAGAGGGACAGTTTTCAGCGGAGAGTTGCCCCCACCCCCACTGAGCTGGAGCCTAAACCCAAGAAGAAGAAGGGACTGACTTAAGGGCGTGAGTGGGTGTGGGTGTGGGGAATGGTCAGAGATGTGACTTCCTCAAAGACCCAGAGTGAGGAGCATTATACACTCCCAGCTGTGGCCTGCCTCCTCACCCCTCTCAGGTCCCAGAAACAGGGTCCCCCAAGGCTGGGGGTCCAGGAGGAGAAAGAAACAAAGCCAGTTCCAGATGAATGGGCATCTTGGGCTCAAGGGAGAGAGAGGGGGCCTAGTTTTTTGAGCAGCAATTTTCAAATTTTCTAGTCTCAGGATTTTTTTAAATTCCTAAAAATATTTGAGGACCCCAGAAAACTTTTGTTTACATGGATTATATTCTATCAATATTTACCATATTCAAAATTAAAACTAAGACATTCTAAAAAGTTTTGGTTTTAAATATAAAAACCAATAACAAACTCACTCATTCCACGTTAACGTAAATAACATTTTTAGTAAAAAGTAGCTGAAATTTTCAAAACAAACAATCTAGGGAGAAGAGTGACATTGATTTACATTTTTTTGCAAATCTCTTTAATGTTGGGTTTGATAGAAGACAGCTGGATTCTCATATCTGCTTCTGCATTCAATCTGTGGTAATGTTTTGGTTGAAATAAATGAAGAAAATCTGCCCTCACAAAGATAGATATTTGTAAATGGAGGGATATTTTCCTGTCTTTTCAGATAATTGGTGATACTCTTTGACACTACATCACAGCTTCACAAATGGTAGTTTCTTAAAGGTTAGTTGCAACACAGAGCCTGCATCATATCGTCAACTTTTTGTAATCTGTTTCCTGTGATGCATTGGTCTAGCTTACCCTTTGAATCTTTTACCTACGTGTAATTTTGAAACTTCATGTCTTCCTCATTTGGACAGTATCAGTTCAGAGTTAGGCATGTCTTCCAGATATTGACTTTTCATTATAAGGTATAAAAAAAATTGCATTCATTAATATTATCACCAAGCTCATCAGAAAATTCTTTAAGTATTGGAAAGTTGTCAGGCTCCTCTTGGTAGATACGATTTTTCCAAAAATTCTAAATTCTAATTTTGGAATTTAAATTTTATCATTGGCAATAAATACTGTTTATTTTCCTTGAAGTGACAGGCTCACTCATTTATATCTGAGAAAATGTCTGCTGGATTCAAGTCTGAAAAACTATAGTCTGTCATTTTTTTCAAGTGATGGTGGTGATCCTCAAAAAAGTTCAGCTCGCAACTTAAACAATTACGTAAGTGCTTTCCCCTCAAGACTGCCATCGTACTTTAATTTGCAGCAGAGGGTGTTTCATGAGGATTTCTCATTTCGACACAGAATATTGGAAAAGATGTGTACTAAAGATTTAATAAAATTAATAATTTTCTTGCTTCATCAAGAACGTTTAGAAATGAATTGACTTTTTTGCGGGGCGGGGGTTCACTATTTATTCTTTTTTTTTTTTTTTATGCTGAGTACATGGATGTGGAGAATGTGACTCAGGCTACAGTTCAGTGCTGCTGCCTTGGTTTGTGCTAAGGAGCCAGCAGTTTTGCTCACTGTTTTATATCATCAGCACAAATATCAACATAGTAAAAAAGGCAGATAATGTCTTGGTATTATTATGACGATAGTTTTGACCTCATGGATTCCCTGAAAGGTCTCGGAGTATTCCTCTTTCCTCCCTCATTTCCATGCCCCCTTGCCCTTGGGAACTGTTAGCCTAGACCTTTGGAATCAGATGGCAGTGGAAAACGTCCCAGCAGAATAGAAGCTAGTGATTTCGCTGCTGGAGAGGCAGCATAAAATTTCGTAATTCAAATCAACTGTGTAATTCACAATGTGACTTGAGGGTGAGGTTTTTGTTTTTAAAGGAATCACAATGATTCATTAGAATAATGGAAGCCACAGTTATTGCATTTAACATAGACAAATCACCACTATGCTAAATGAAACAAAGCATAAAAATTTTCTCAATCAACGAAATTCCAGTTAGAGCCAGTGGTTTCTTTAAACTCACCTGTGAGTATCTATAGGCCTCTTCAAGTCTTTCCACTGCTCTAGGGCTCCCTAAGAGATGGGTGTAATTCAGGCTTAGTACCCTTTTCTTCATTATTGTTCATGGTGCTAGGAACAGCTGTTGACTAGACAGACAAGGTCCTTGTTTTCCTGGGGCTCGTAGTCAAGTGACAGAGTGTTAAACGATCACACAAATATGATTACAACTCTGCTAAGATTTATGAAGAAGTACAGGGAGCTTTGAAACAGGGCCTAATCTGGCCTGAGGCCAGTGAAGACATCCTGAAGAAGTGAAATTCAGCTAAGGTCTGAAGCAAGAGTTGGAATGGCTAGGTGGAAGTGGGGTGTGGGTGGGGAAGAACGTTCAAGGCAACGGCATGGGTATGTGTGGAAGTTTAGGTAGGAAAGGTCTGGGTGGGTTTGAAGACCCACCTGGGAAGTCCATTTTGGCTGGAGGCTGGTAGGAAGGTAGCACAAAATGAGGGTGAAATAGCAGCTGGAGGTCAGGGCAAGGGTCATTAGGTGGCCTTTTTTTTTTCAGTTATTAGAACCTATCAAGATCCTTCCTGCCTCAATCCTGGACCCATGCAGATCCCTCTGCCTGGAATGTTCTTTCTCTGCTCCTTTTTCAGGCCTCAACTGAAATGTCACTTTCTTTCTAAGTAGATCTCTTTTTTTATCTCTATGTCAGCACCCCGTTTTCTTTGAATAGCAACTATATTTGTTTACATTGCTTTTGTCTGTCTCCCCTGTGAGACTGTGAGTTCCCAGAGTGCAGAGGCCCTGTTGTTTGTGTTCACCTTGTATCTCCCGTGCTTAGCAGTGAGACTGACGTGCAATTGGTGCTCAGAAGTATTTGTTGGATGAAAGTGTGAACAAACAAATGAACACAGAGCTGGATTTGAGAGCCTGGCTGCATCCCTTAACAGCTGCGTGATCTTGGACAAGTCACACAACTACCCTATCCTCAGTTTCCTATTCTGTAAAATGGGGCTTTACGTGAGACTCAAGTGAAATAGTGCATGTGGACGTACCTGGCAGGATTCCTGGCTCAGAAAGAGGTGCTCCTAAGTGTTAAACGTCTTGTTTCTCACTCTCAGTTCTGTACCCTTTTCACTGCACTATGGTATGTGATGTGCCTCAGGCCTCACTTAATCCCAGCTGAGTCTCATGCCATCCTTTCTCCCTGAGCTGCTTTCCTGAGTCGGCCCACGGCAACAGACACCATCAGAGGGGCTTCCAGGCTTTTGTGATGGCAACAGAGTGGGAGGAACAAGATGGGAGGGGAGGGAGCAACTGGTTCTGATGGAGAGTAGATGGGGAGAGGGACTGTTGAAAATCGACCAGACTTTGGGTACTGGGATTATGACTAGTTTTAATCTTATTTAATATACTTTAAAAAACCCTGTGTTTTGTAATAATATTAGTCCTTCAAAAAAGTTGCAGAACAGTTGAAAGAGTTCATGAATGCCCTTCATCCAACATTCTCTAATGTTAAAAATTTACAAAACCATACTATAATGATCAAAACCAGAAAATGAACATTGATGCAATATTAGCTAAATTATAGATTTTATTTGAACTTCACCAGTTTTCTCCTTAATGACCTTTTCTGTTCCAGGATACAATCCAGGGTCCCACATTACATTTAGTTATCATGTCTCCTTAGACTTCCTCTGATCTTTGAAAGTTCCTCAGTCTTTCTTTGTCTTTCATGATCCTGACACTTTTGATCAGTACTGATCAGTCATTTTGTAGAACGTCTCACGATTTGGGTTTAAATGGTGTTTTCTCGTGACTAAATTATGATCATGCATTTCTGGCAAGAATACCACAGAAGCGATGTTGTGTCCTTTTCAATACATCATAGTAGGGGTCCATGATGTTGATATGTCCTATTGATGATGATGATGTTTATCTTGATCATTTGATTAAAATGTCATCTACTGTATACTTTTAAAGAAATTATATTTTTAAAAAATTTAATTATTAAAGTAATAAATTACCCTTAAAAGTTCAAGCAAATAAACTTCCCAGCAGACCTACCTCACCTTCCCAGAGGTGATTCCTTTTAGATCATTTTCTACTTGTATACACATATATAATGGCATCATACCAACTTTTTTTGGTTTTGTTTTACTTAACAATATTATCCAGGGACAACTTTCCATGTCAGGACAATTAGTTTTAACTTGTTCTTTCTAATGATTGGCTAGTATTTCATTCTCTGGGTGACCCTCGTATTATACTTTTCTGTATTTTCTAGATTTCTTATGAGCACATTAATGTTTTTTAATATAGAACATTTTACCATCACAATTTTTATTTGAAATTTCATCAAAAGAAAAATATTCATATCTTGTCAGAATATTAAAAATTTATATTATATGTTTTATCACCAGAAATAGATTATCTAAAACTTTAAGTCAAAATAAGCCAAAGAATAAAAAGGTACATTTTAAAATAGAACAAGTGAAAAGAAACTGAACTGCCATTAATTTTATTGACTCTCAGATGCCATTTATTCAAAAAATATACCTTTATTTTATGTAGAAAGAACAAAATGCCATGTAATTGGAAAATACCATTGATTTTAAAGTTTTAAAATGTGCAAAATGGGAGTCTTGGAAGTGATGAAATGAGATAGTCCCTTGTTGGCCTTTCATTAACCAGAATTCCTATGTGGTCTTTCAGGCTCAGACAGGACACTGACCAGCTGCCTCTTCCAGCCCAGAGTAATGGAGACAAATGATTCCTCCCGTGTGGACTCTGAATTCCGATACATCCTCTTCCCAATTATTTACAGTATTATCTTTGTGCTGGGGGTCGTTGCCAATAGCTATGTGCTGTGGGTCTTTGTCCACTTGTACCCTTCCAAGAAACTGAATGAGATAAAGATATTCATGGTGAACCTCACCATGGCCGACCTGCTCTTTTTGATCACTCTACCCCTGTGGATCATCTACTACTACCACCAGGGCGACTGGATTCTCCCTAAATTCCTGTGCAATCTGGCTGGCTGCTTCTTCTTCATCAACACCTACTGTTCCGTGGCCTTCCTGGCCGTCATCACTTATAACCGCTTCCAGGCAGTGACACGGCCCATCAAGACCGCTCAGGCCACTACCCGTAAGCGTGGCATCTCTTTGTCCCTGGTTATCTGGGTGGCCATTGTGGCTGCTGCATCCTACTTCTTTGTCCTAGATTCTACCAACGTAGAACCCAATAAGACCGGTTCAGGCAACATCACTCGCTGCTTTGAGCATTATGAGAAGGGCAGCATGCCAGTCCTCATCATCCACATCTTCCTTGTGTCTGGCTTCTTCCTTGTCTTCCTCATCATCCTCTTCTGCAACCTTATCATCATCCGCACGCTGCTCATGCAACCCACACAGCTGCAGCACAACGCAGAAGTCAAGCGCCGGGCGCTGTGGATGGTCTGCACAGTCTTAGCTGTGTTCATCATATGTTTTGTGCCTCACCACATTGTGCAGCTACCCTGGACCCTGGCTGAGCTGGGCTTCCAGGACAGCAACTTCCACCAGGCTATTAACGATGCGCATCAGGTCACCCTCTGCCTCCTTAGCACCAACTGTGTCTTAGACCCCATCATCTACTGTTTCCTGACCAAGAAGTTCCGCAAGCACCTCACGGAGAAGTTCCACAGCATGCGCAGCAGCCGGAAATGCCCCCTAGCCACCACGGAGACTGGCACCGAAGTAGTTTTGCCACTGAACAACAACCCTGTCAATTCCTTAAAAAATTAGTCTCTGATTGTTGAGGCTAAGCCCAGAGGTTTCTCCTTCATGGACATCACGACTGACTTGGGGAGAAGAGGGGTATCTGCTGTGGCCTGGGTACCTCCTTCCTGGGTACTGGGCTCATTAGGTATGGAGGCTACCTCCCCGAGGCAGGGACGATGGCAGAGCTAGACTGCTGGAAAATCTAGAACTTGAATGAGCCCCTTCAGCCACCTTTGGGCACATGCCATAGTAACCTTGACTGGTGACCTCATCCAGAGTGTTTGAATCTTATAGCTCTGGGAGGAAAGTCAAGGCCAGGGGCAGACCTTGGGGGCAGACTCTGAACCAGTCAGTTCACCCTACCAGGGCAGCAGGCCCAAGTGAGTATGGCCTAAAGTTTTGGGCAATCACTCTTTTTATTACTATAAAGACAGAAAAGGGGGTTTTGGAAAAAGGATACTCCCCTGGCAAAGTGGCAGTATCTTTGGGGCAGACTTTTGAGCTAAGATGGTGCTACCTTGTCTCTACTCACAGGCACAAGGTCTTTGTGACACTTCTTAGGGGAACGAGCTCAGTGGAAACTTCTCCTGACTCACCCAACAACCTCTCCTGAATGGTGACCACAGGAAATAAAACATATATAGATCCAGTGCTAGAATAGGGACTTGTTTCCAGAGGCAGACGTGTTTGCCTGCACAGGCCTCACCTCAGGCCTGGGTGAGCTCTAGGGAAGTGGGAGAGATACAACTGTAGTACCCACCTGTCTGTCTCAATAACAAACCCTGATGAAGTACTTTCTGTGAGGCAGCCACCCACTGTGGTGGGCAAACACCCCTCAAAGCCAGACTCCGGTGTCATGGTGCCCAGAGCCTTCCATGGGAAGAGGAGCTTAGGCTGGGAAGTGCCTGTGTGTGGAGAGGCCCCCAGAGTGGAAAGAGTCTGTCAGGTCTCCTCTCTACCTCTCTTTCTAGAGGCCCCCTCCTAATTTGACTTAAGGGAGGTAGGAGGAGCAATTATGGTCTTAAAGGCCAGCAGGCACTTTGACGTCTGGGTGCAGAAGATAAGTGTCAGCTTCTCAAGGATCTCTAGATACCTGCTTGTGATTTTCAGAAAATATATTCAAACAAGCCTCCTCTCATATTCTAAGCTAAGTTACCTGCAGTATGAACCTGGCAGCCCCAGACCCAAGACTTGGAGGAGACTTTTCTTGTTTCCAGAGCCCTGTGGACCTTCAAAGAAATCTTCTTGCCTTTCAGCTAGTGTCCCCATAAAGTTGGAATTCTTGTCCTCTGTCTACTGAGCAAGCACTGGATTGATGATTTTGATAACTGCCTCATAGTGAGCCGGTAACCTGCTTGGGCCCAGGATAGTAGCTGTGGGCTAGACTTAGCCGATAGTGACCAGGTAGATAGTGTAGTGTACTAGAGCTTTCGTGTCTCACAGACCTAGGTTCAAATTTTGGCTTTGTCACTTTCTGCTGAGGGACTCCGAGCTGAATTTCCTACCTCATAGGGTTGTTATAAGCAGTGAATGAAGTTGCCGATGCAGATACCTCTGGGTCAGGGTGACTGTTCATCCCAGATTCTGCTTTTTTTCTGAGAATTTTTTCCTCTCAATCTTCTTACGGGAGCTGAATGGATGAGAGGTGAGCATCTGGCTCTAGTTGGGCCAGTCAGGTGCTCTGTCTCAGGAAAAAGTAGCAAGATTCAGGGATGCTATTTCAGGCTCTGCAGGCCACTCACCTGAAGATATATAAACTCTGGGGCTGTGTGTGTGTGTGCATGCGTGTGTCTGTGTGTATATGAGGGGAGTTGGAACGGTAGTAGAGGCCGGCCACCTGCATGCGCATCCTAGAGAAGATAGCTTTGCTCAGAGAGAAGATGGAAATGTGCAAAGAGACCAGGGCAGACCCCAGCCTGGGGGTGAAGGGCTTCCAGGGGCCTGCTGTCTTTGTTCCTCCAGGCCAAGTCCTTCTTGAGGCACAACTGCACTTTGTCTTTTGGGGCCTGTGAGAGTCCCTTTTTAGGCTACATTCTCTTGCTTTGCTTAAGCTGATTTGAGTTATCTATGACTGGCAAGCAAAAGAGCTCTGAAAGAGATAAATACTTATATGGTAAACCACAGTTTTTCTCGAATTTCAATCATTCCTCTACCCACCCCTCAATTTTTGCAATATCTTTGTACCAGCTATATGTTTACTTAATAAATGTTTTTCTTTAAATTAAGTCACTTTTCAAAACCTAAATTTTTTAAAAAGGATACTTTGTAACTAAATTGTAAATGAAAACTAATGGCACCTGCCATACATAGAAGGTAGACATAAACATAAAACATAATTATTAAAATAAAAATGTTCTTGGTGTTCTGTCTAAAGTCACCTCATACACCCCAGGGACTTGCATATCACACTTCAGGAAACACTGCTGTGATATGTACAAGGTGAACAAGGTCTGCATTCAGTAAGTGCTCAATAAAGAGTAAGTTGGACAGTTCTGAGATGATAACTTGTGATCATCCCCTTGCTTCCCCCAGAATGTTGCCCCAACATACAGGCCAGGGTCTTACTCACACCCAGGGACCATGGGGGTGGGAGGAGTATTTCAGTTTGTAGCCCACGCTACGGCCCTGCTGATCCTCTCATCACTCTGAATACAGACACCTTCATTCCCTCTGTGACCTCTGACCTCTGACCTTCTCAGATGCTTTCTCTTCTCTTTGACCTAGCCAGAAAACCTTCTACATGCAGCCTTCCTGAAGTCTTCCAGATAGGGTCATTGGTTTCCTTCTTGAAATATGTTAGTCTGGGAGGGCCCAACTTTTTATACCTTAATTACTATGGTTATAGAAGTTTATCCATTTCGAGGTCTGTCTTCCCTATCCTGAGGTAGGAACTGAATCTTAATCATCAGTGATCTATAGTTTCTCACAGAAAACCTGGAACCGAGATCCGTCTGTCTCCAAAGCTTACTGCTTTCCCACGATGTAGCATAAACAGACACATTGACATAAACACGCACTTATTTTGATTCTTCAGGGACAGCTAGGGAAGGAATGTAATACATATCCTTCCAAAGTTCCATGTACACATTTTAAAGGGAGGTGGGGATTTTCAGAGGATCTGAACATTTTAGAGCTGCAAGGGTCCAATTCCTTTGTCTTATTAAGGGGAACATGGGACTCAGAGGGGTTAAAAGATTGCAGAAAGCACATGGCATAGAACTGCAGTGAACACAGAATTGGCTGCTGACCTGTGTCTCTTACTTCTTGTAGTGGTGACAGGGTCGATAGGAAACACTGAGTTGTAATTCTTTTGAAGAAACATTACCAGTTAGGGTTTCCAAGCCATCTTTTAAGTCAAAAGGCCTCACTCTGCATTTTCCCCTGATCTCAGCCTTCACCCCAAGGAAATTTCAGTGATCTCAGTTAGAGAATGTTAGTGCAGGCAAGACCTGGCCCCTCACCTCATCGAGATGAGTCAGTCATAGACACAAGAGTGTGGAAAGTGTAAGTCACAGCTGATTAGAACTGAGCATGTTTACGCCTGTTTTTACTCATCTATGTTTATCTGTGCTTGAGAGCTAAGGCCACAAATAGGTGTAATAAAACCCTCTTGCAAAACAACTGGTTTTTGTGCAGACTTGTATTTCTATAATACAAATTATGTTTCCCCTGACATCCTGCCAGGAAACCATTCTCCCACTACCCAGTCGTTCATCTATCCACCCATCGATTCATCCATGTGTTCATCTATCTAGGTATCCAACAAACACTTATGAAGTACATATTTTGGTCCAGTAAGTATGCTAAGCACAATTTTTATCTGTTGTCTCATGGAAACCTCACACTCTCCCTGAAAGGTAGGTGATTCCATCCCCATAGAAACGAATAAAATAAATAAGGACCAAGCTGACTGAATGACAGTGGCTGCCTCCCAGGTACTTGGTATAGAAGGAGAAGGGCCTACATTTTGTTGAGTCCCAGATATTTGCTACTTCACAAATCTTGTCTCATTGAGTCCTTACAACCACTGTACAAAATTTATGTTTCATACCCATTTTACAGACAGGGACATTGAGGCTTGGAGGGGGTGAGTGATTTGGAAAGATAAAAGAGCTACTAAGTGGCAGAATAATATTCAAACCCAGATCTGCCTTAGTAATATGGGTCCCTTTCCTTCTCTCCTTCCCCCATGTGACTGTACTCTCACTCAAGCCCCTCTAGGCACTGTCCTAGCTGGAGTGTGTGCTGGGGTAGGAGTCTCTTGAGGGGAATAGCAGCTGACGACAGCCCTCACCAGCTGTTTCTAGCTTCCTGTTTGAATGCTCTTGTGCTCCCTACGCAGGCTGAAGCCCCAGTAGCAGTGACTTCTTTCTGGGCTGAGGCTCCTAAGATCAGTTAGGGAGGACAGTCCTGCATGTGGATGGTGTATGTGAACATTGTCTCAAAGAACTTCAGAAGCCAGAGTGTCATTGTTGCTGAAGCTGGAAGGTGCATTAGGTGGTCACCCGGATCCTGACATCTATGTAAGAGGAGGGAAAGGGGTGAACACTCAACAGTTACTGACTGCTTATTTTGTCCCAGGCACTGTGAGAGGAATTCCCCTCTGCCCGAATTACTTTTTTCTCCAGATATCCATGTGGCTCACTCCCTCCCCTCCTCTTTCAAGGTTTTTCTCAATTGTCCCCTTCTCAGTAAGGCCTGTGTTGACCATCTCCTTTAAAATAAGCTTAGAGAGTGAAGCAATTCCCCAAGGCCATGCAGTGAATCTCTGGATCTGCCTGGCTCCTTGCACTTTCATTCTGCACTGACTTCCTGTCGACATCCTTCATGACACAGGTTATGAAGGCCCATATCTTCCATCTTCCAGACAAGAAAAATAAATACCAAAAGGTAAAATGACTTATCCAAGGTCACACAGCAATAACTTGATAGAACCGAGATGCATAGATCTTCTATTACCTTCATTTTCAAGACACTTCTCTTGTACACTTTTCTGTCTGAACACATGTTGTTTTCTTTCATCGCCATTGTCCAGTCTCAGCCCCCAGAACTGTTTTAGAGTGTTCAATAAACATCTTTGACTTCGTATGTATCCTTGGAAAATGTAGTGTTATTTTCTGTGTGTATTCATTTTAAATTTACATAAAAAGCAGGATTTATATATATTGGACTATGGACCTTATTTCATGTCTCATTTCCGCCCCCCATTCAGCATTGTTTTTACAATTTAACTATGTTAAAGTATATCATCCGGTTCACTGATGCAAATAGCTACCTGGTCCTCCACCACACACATCTACATTTTACTTACCTATTTCCCTGGCAATGGACACTTAGGTTGTCTTTAACTCCCTTTTCTATAAATAATGCTGTGAGGAGATCCTTCCTGATGTTTCCCTATGCAGCGATATAAGAATTTCCTGGGACGTATACCCAGAGGTGACATTCCTACGTCAGAGGCTACACTCATATTTACCTGGATGAAGAACTGCCAAATCACTTCTGGAATGGCCTCGCCAGTCTGCATTCCCACCCATAGTTACATGAGAGTTTATTTCCCCAATTCCCCACCCACCCTTGGCATTATCCAACATTCAGGTTGCTAGTAGGTGTGAAGTAAAATTTTATTTTTAGTTCAGATCTCTCTCAGATTACTAATGGGTTTGCAGTCAAGTACTATTAGTCATTTGAGTTTCAATTCAGATAATTCTGACTCCAAAGCCTGCGCAATGTCATGTAGTGATCAATAAAGTGGCCTCTGGGGCCATGTTGCCAGGATTCAGTTTCTAGTTCCATCTAGTCTGTGATTTTGAGAAGACTATTCAACCTCCCTGGGCTTCTGTTTCTTCATCTGTGAAATGAGAATAGTTTTACTGTTGACATAATAGCATAGTTTAGAAGATTTAAAATTGCTTAGTAAATGTTATGTTTTGTCCTGATAGATTGTGTCGTTCACTGTGCAGCCTCCCTTTTCACTCTAGCCCACACTCCATTTCCCCTGCCCCTTTCCAAAAAATCACACTGTGTAACTGTATTTTCCTTAGAAATGTGAAACTATAAAAGAGGAACAGAGTGTGACTAATCCGGGTTTCTCTTTATTTAACTTCCTAAGTCACTCTAAAATACATGCAGAGAGTGTTTTAAAAAGAATTGCGCATGCACGGGTCAGGGGATTTTGACCTTTGAAAGGAACTGATGAATTAGTTCCTTAAAAGAAAGGATGGGGCATCAAAGGACACTGTCAACAGACTGAAAAGGCACCCCAATGAATGGGAGAAATTATTTGCAAGTCATATATCTGATAAGGGATTGATATGTAGAACATATAAATAACTCCTACAACTCAACAATAAAAAACTCGATTAAAAAATGGGCAAAGGACTTGAATAGACATTTCTCCAAAGAAGATATACAAATGATTTAAAAGCACATGAAAATATACTCGATATCACAAATCATTAGGGAAATGCAAATCAAAATCATAATGAGATAAAACCAGAAAATGACAAGAGTTGGCAAGACTGTGGAGAAATGGAACATTTGTGCGTTGCTGGTGGGAATGTAAAGTGGTGTAGCTGCAGTAGAAAATAGTATGCAATTCCTCCAAAATTTAAACATAGAGTTACCATATGACCCAGGAATTCCACTTCTGAAATGCAAGAAAGCAGGGACTTGAATACCATGGTTTACAGAGGTCAAAGGTAGAAGTAACACAAGTCCATCAAGGGATGAATGGATAAACGAATGTAGTATATACCTACAATGGAATACTATGCATCCTTAAAAAGGAAGGAAATTCTGATACATGCTACAACATGGATGAACCTCGAAGACATTATGCTAAACAAAATAAGACAGACATGAAAGGAAAAAATATTGTATGATTCCACTTATATGAGGTGCCCGGAGCAGTCAAATTCGTAGAGACAGAAAATAGAACGGTGATTGCCAGGAGCTGGGGGAGAGAGAATGATGAATTATTGTTTAATGAATATGGAGTTTCAATTTAGAAAGACGAAAAAGTTCTAGAGATGGATGGTGGTAGTGGTTGTACGACAATGTGAATATACCTAATGCTGATGAACTGTACACTTAAAAATGGTTAAAATGGTAATTTTATGTTACTGCACACAAAAATACTCTTTTTAAAGAGGAAGGTTGGGGTAGGAAGAAGTGAGGTGAGGAGGGAGAAAATCAGGCTCCCGAGGGAGAAAATCAGGCTCCCAAAGGAGGCTTTCTCACAGTGGATCCATCAAGTTCAAGGTGGTGTTGCCTGCCATTGATTCAACAAATTCTGCTTGAGTTACTGTGTGTGAAAAAGCTTCATCAATAAACTTCTTTACTCATGATTTTCTCGGTATGTGTGGTTGTCTGAGGCAGCATGGCCTTGTGAAAGAGAACGGATGTCCTCTCATTGCACCAACATTTAATGATTGCCCATCACAGGTAGCACTCTGTTATGTGCTGTGGGGACAAAGAAAAAAAGACGAAAACTGCCTTTGCACTCTAGCAAGTGGCAGGCAAGTGTTAAAAACGCAATAGAGTGTTGTGTTTGCTATTCAATGATCTGCGTGTGCGAGCCCATTGTGAGCATTTCTTCCCAGCTCTGTTTTCGGAAATGTCATGTTAGTTCGTTTTAAATCAGCCGTGTTGGGAGTATTTGTGCCACAGGAATGAGCGAATGCTACAAATCTTTTGAATCTTGGCTGTGTCACCACTGGCTGTGTGATCCTGGGCAAATCACTTCACCTCCCCAGCCTCAGATTCCTTATTTATAAAATAGACATAATAAATGTCAGTTCCTTCCTCTTTCCTGTCTCAGGAAGAGGATGATTTGACACTTGAAGAGGGGCTTTGGTTGTTCTTGGATGATAGGGAGCCTGTCTCTCCTCAGATAACTGCTGATATTCACCGCCCGCCCCTCCCCCCCCATCTCCCCAGTTGGCACCAATGTTGCCCCGGGCTGAGGGCCGTTCAGATAGAGCAGTGGACCCAAAGTAACTCCACACACACTTTTTAGTACCCTCTGGGTACTGGGGAGAGGGAAAGGAGAACTAGAAAGGAAGAGATGATTATTGCTCTCCACGGTTCATTGTTTCATTGTTTATTTTTTATCTTATGGCCTGATAATGGCTTCTAACATTGTGGATGTTTCATAACAAAAGAATTTTAACTACAACAGCAGCCAAAATTAGTTCAGGAAGGCAAGACGGGGAATGGAGAAGAACTTGGACCTTGGAGTGAGATCTAGGTTTATCAGCCAGTTCTGTCATCACTAGTTGTTTGGTCTTAGTTGCCTATGAGCCTCGGTTTCCTCAGTTGTAAAATGGAGATAATGACAGCTACTGCACAGATGTTTAGAAGGTTCTGGAGAAGTAATAGAGAGGAAATCATTTTGTAATCTGTGAAGGATGATCACACGTGCCATCACATATCACATGTGCCATGGAATGTGAGCAGTTAACTATAGCAATATTGCTGGTTGCCTAATATCTATTCTCTCCCTCTTTGAGAATAGAAGAACCGTTATTTTATTTGGAATAACAGTGTGTTTTGTTTTGCTTTGTTTTGTTTTGGGAAGGCTGCAAAGTTATACTCAGAGACTGATTCTGTCTTTGCCA